CCACCGTTAATGACCTGTGTCATTCTGCATGGATTGCTTTTTGTCATTGCCTAGCGTGTCTTCAACTGCTGAAACCTCAAGTGTGTTTTGCTGCTTTGCTTAAGGATTTCATATGCTGAATTACATGAAAATTGAAACTCTGTAGTTATGAAATTACAGAAAACTGAAGCTCACCAAAGTATTTCACCTCTTGGTTTTCTAAAAAGAAAACACGTTGGGAAGTCTCTTATCATTAGAAGAAACAGTCTTATTTTTAAATACATAGGAGAAAAATCCATATGGAAATAAATTCATCACCATTATATATACAGCAAGTGTAGAAGCAGTGTGTACAAGACAGGCAGCACCCCCCGGAGAATAAAATATGGCATATGGCAATATCTTGATTTGGTTTTCAACTAAAATCCCAGTGCATTAAGGCTTGGAAACAGTCTCAGTTTGGAGTCAGACCATGTTCCCTCTACCACCTATTTCATAAAACAGAGAAATACTCCTGAACTCCATGGCCAAGCCCAACCATTCAGCTACAAAACTCCAGTTAAATCCCACCTGCCCCATCAGCCCAAGCCAAATCACTGGGTTCATGCTCTGCCAAGGAGCTTTCTCAAGCTGCCAGCACACTTTCAGCACTGAACTGGAGTTACGGGGGTTATTTGTCTATGTTCCCTTGCCCCCAGAATCTTTAGGGAGCATTCCCCATGCTGACACTGGAAGCAGCATCACCTCTCCCACAGCACTGGGACCAGCCAGCAGCAGCTCTGGCGTTAGTCATGTAATGCATTTGCCATGTATGCAGAGCTTTTGTAGATCAAAAAGTGTTTGGAGTTCTCGTGCCCTCAGGATTCAGTTTGGGAACTCTGCTTCCAAAATTGATTAGGCTGCAGGATGTTAGGGAGAGGATGTTGGTAGTAATTGGAAAAATGGTTGTTAGCTACAATTTTAAACAGAACAAGCCTTAGAGAAAGCTGCTTGTCCTCTGCCCCTGGGCAGCAGCCAGACATGGTTATCCTTAACATAATGGCAAGCACCATGCTTTCATGGTCAGTTAAATTAGACTAAGGAATTTTGGCTTGTAAACTAGAAAACAGAAGATAAAACACAATTTTGGCTGGGCCTCAGATTCCCCCAAGATCAGTAACTCCAGTGTGTTATCCAAAATGTCTATTGTTATGAAAGTAACATACAGTTTAGTGACCAAGATAAATCAATTGCTCAGTCTCAGACTGACCTACATTTCATAAGCATTATTAGCAGCCTCCCTATCAATCATCTTCAGTGCTGCTGGCATCTAGTGGCAACATTCAGCTGTATTTCGGCATCCCTGTAAAACAATCTTAGATTCTTTCAAACCAGAGCAGGGGGAATAAAGGTTTCCTTGGAGAAAAATGCTTGTGAGAGGCTGAGATAATCAACTGAGTGTGAGTGAGGCTGCCAGTACTACCTACAAGTAGAATTTATCTTCATGAGCTATTTGCAAACTCAGAAGTATTCAAAAAGACCCACGTAAACATTTTCATATGGAAGGAAAGAAATAATCAACTGATCTGGCATGAATTTGCTGAGCAAAGCACATCTTTTTTTAACTCCTCCCAGTAAGATCATGACTGCTCTGAAACAACTGAACAACCTACTCTTCTAAATTCACTTGTGTGGAAGGCACATGAAGTCTAAACAGATTTCCTCTTAGTCTGTGCCACTGATACAGAAATCAAGAGCTCCTCTAGCACAGTCCGTTACGTGCACGATACAATCAATAAGGAACACTCAGAATAGTAAAAGGTCAGAATATAAAGGCCAAATGCACCAATCTCAGGTGAGGGATGGGAAGGACTTTGAGTGCAGATCACAGCAAAACCCCTTGTACCTTGTTCTGTTCCCAGAAGCAATGCTTTCCACAGGTCCCAGCTGCGTTGCTGGTAGGGTTGCCAGAGTAGGCATACCACCAGCAGATCCTCAGAGATCTTCTGGTTAGTTCCTTGTAGCTGGAGTGACAATGGGTGCTGTGTACAGCAGGATGCACGCCTGCCAGCATTTCTGATGGAAATGAGAGAGGCAGAAGTCCCAGAAGTCCAGAGAGGCTACTGCACACAGACTGCGGTGTGTATGTGTGCAGGCAGACATCCTGAACACCAGAGCTGCTGCAGGTACAGAGGTGGATCTCGCCTCTGTACGTGCTGGGCTCACCAGGTTTGGGATGCAGAACAAGCCAACGCAGAGAGGGTGTTTTCCTGGGAATTTTCAGAGATGATCCCTAAAAGGTCTGGCGGCTGAGGCGGTAGCGCTGATGGTTATGAGCACAAGCAGCAGTCCTGTGCTAGGAATATCATTCCAGCCTTCCTCCTTGACTGGCATGGAAACGCTGTGGATGGTCGGGCTGTGCCTTGGGGGGACATGGAAGAACAACCCTAATGAAGAGGTTCAGTCGATGCAAAATGAGCTCTCTTCATTACAAACAAACGCCTGGGGTTCTGTGGCAGCAGAGGAGGCTCTGTGCTGGGAGGGGGACGGCTGCCACGCAGAGCGGTGACAGCAATAGGTAAAGCACTATTCTGGTATTCTGTATCAATGTTTTGCAGGCCTGGCAGTGGTCACAGTTGATGCCTACAAGCACTGGATATTCCACAAGTTGAAGACGGAATACTGACTTGTTTACCTGAAGATAATAGGACTTCGGGGTATTTCCTCAGAGAAAATATAAATTTTAATATAATTTCATAAGCTTTGGAGGTTAGCTTGTCTTGTAGCTTCAGTGATATCAAACTTCTTCAAGTAGGAGCTAGATAGAAAGCTGTTTAGTTTTTGCCAGCGTATGTAAAACAAGACTTTTCTATCTGCATTGTAGATTGTTTGTGGACACTTCCAGATTCTTGTGCTTTCTGCAGTCATTCTGGGGACTGAACTCTCATTGATACCCATAGAGGTTCCATCAACAGGACACGTGCAGGAATTTGAGTGTAGAAGCCCACAGCGTGGTTTGGAGTAGTGAATTGCTTTTAGTTTGGAGATGACTGGGGCAAGATGGGAAGAGCAACTGTACATTAAGGGAACAATTACAGATCTTCTTCCCCGTGACATCAATGAGAGATTTGCCTTCAACCTTCCACAGAAGAAGATTTTTAGCTTTAATTTGGGACAGTAAAGGGGTTTTTCAAAAGCACTAAAAGACAGTGGGAGCTCGTTCAACTGCTCCCGATGCCTTTAAAAACCCCTACACCAAAAGTGATAGCTGACAACATGAAATGGAAGTAAATAAAATGCATTTTCATTGCTGTTTTGAGTTACATAATTCTTGTTTCTTGATTTGTTAGTTGATCTGAATTTACATGGATTTAATCTATGTGGTGGCCAAGAAAATGGTCAGTAACTGGTAAAGATGCAAAGTATAGCCACAAAGCAAGCAATGTGTAGGTGTAGACCCTAAGAGGGTAACAAAGACAGGTAACAGAAGTTCACTGCCTACAGCCCTAAGACTTTTGTGTCCACATCTACTGAGCTAGATGGCCTTTTCAGCATTTGCCAGCAGATGACACATGTTCCCAGATGACTGAAGGCATTCAAGGCATAGGACCCAGGCACAGATAAGAACTCACAGACATCAGGCACACGTCACCCTACCTGCATGGAGCACTGAGCATGTTCCTGCTGCTCGTCAGAACACAGAGCGAGAACTCCTTTAGCACTAGGTCAGCTTGTGCAGACAGATTGTCCCTGGATGGTCGCATCCTTCTCAAGTCCTCTCTAGCAGCAGCTGCCGTAAGAGATGCAGCAGAACAAGGATCTAACAGAGGGTTCAGATGTACTCAGTGCACCAGTAATTACTCCCTTCTGTATTCTCTGAACTCCAGGCCACAAAGAGCCCTGGTATCGTAGTCGGGCCCTTAATTTCACCCAAGACTCCCACACAGAGCCTAGCAACTTGCATTGGGCTAAAGTATTTCCTCCAGAAATGAGCTATTAAATCAAAAAGGCATTAAAGTGATGGGAATTACATCACTGGTCTGGTGAGGATTAACCAGTCTCACCATTAAAAAGCCATGTCTGTCTGTATTTGATTTTCATGTAGCTTCATCTTCTACCCATTGGATGGGTATTTGTACATCTTTCCCTGTTCAGTTTAAAAACTTGTTAATATAAAGTGTCTCCTCCCTTTAAAGGAATCTGATTGCTTCTTGATCTTCATTGTAAGCTGAACAGACTCTGCTGTAAGCTATTTTCCTCCCCGAAATAACCTTTTATGGCTCTTCACTGCACAATCTCTATTTTTGCCAACATCTTTAAAAATGAACAGTGGAATAGTTGGCACATTTTTAATTGATCTCACTTATGCCATATGCAGATACCAAAATCATAATCCTCCTTTCATTCATTACCCTGCTCTGCATGGGGTGTGTGCCTGAGACAAGGTAATCTAAAGAAAGAGACTGAAAAAGGGGAGAAGGAAGAGGACAAAGGGGGTGTGCAGAGTTACTGAGTTTGCAATTAAAACCATGTGAACCAAGAAAAATCAAATGCAACTGAACCCTGCAAACCAAACCAGTTAAATACTCCAAACTCCCACGTTTTGAGAGCCCCAAAAGCAATATTATGTGCTCTGTTGTTTAAGAACAGACTTTTAACAGAGCCCTCCGTGTCCTGCAGCTCCCTACACTGAAAGTATTACTGGGTTTTTGTGGTTTGGAATTCTGCAGTGAATGGTTCTTTGGGAATTAGGGTCCTGCAGTAACAAAGTGCTTGCACATCTTCAGCCACAAGCCCAGGACAGGACCCAGAGGTGCTTCCTCTTCATAAAAAAGCAAGCTTTTCTTGATAGTAGTGGAAGTAACCACAGGTAGACGAGGTGGTTCTGTTTAGCCAAAGAATTGCCATTTCCATCCTACCGACGGCGGGTAGCAATGAGTGGAGCTTGGCTTTGTTTCCTCTGCAAGTTGCAAGTCCTCTTGGTTGACCAGGTGGTGCACAGCAGCTTCTGCCATTTCTAGGGCTGCATCCTTTTTTTCTTCTTTGTTTTCAGCCAGGTTTTTTCACCCTTTTAATGTGCATGTGCAATGCAAGTACAGAGTTGAGAGGCAAATGAGGGCAGGGATCTCTCCCTCCTTCATGCAAGTAAGGCACATGAGGCAACACACTGTCCAGTACTGTTAGTTCACACAGCAACACCAGCAGTGAACAATGTTCATTCCCAGCTACTGTCAGTGATACCTGTATCAAATCCTGGTGTTATCATGTGTATTGTATGGGTTTGGGAGCTTTACAATATTTTCAAAGTCCAGAAATGACAGAATCCAGTATAAAAAAAGGTCAATATATTACTGTTGAAAGGAGTTTTTTTTCCTTTTTTTATACAAAAATTAAAAAGATCCAAATATATCACATTATTTACATACTGTGCTTCATGCTTAGAGATCACTGAAAAAGAACACACAGACATTCTAATCAGAGAAACGCTCCATTCGTTACACTTACGAATCTTATTGTTAATATTACGAGGATTGACATTCAGATTTCTTTCAATATTAACAGTACCTCCAGAATACACAGAATTAAAACCTTTTATATGCTAAGGATGTGCTCACATTCTAACCAAGGGTTTGCATCAGTTAGTAACTCACTTGCTATTAACTTGAACTATGTCCATATACCACATGCTTGAAACTGGGTTAGTGATTCCACTCAGCTTCACTGTCCTACCCTTGCTGGAGGATGAGGTTAGAGCAGCCTACAAGTCTGGATCAAACCCTCATCTTATGGTGGGGACGTTCTCCTCATTCTCCCAGGCTGCCTTCAGTACTTAAAACCCCTGGCTGTTGTGAAATGGTATGAACTACCTGACCACCTGCACCCAGATTCACCGAGTTGAGCGCTGAAGCAGCAGAGTGGTGGTGGATTATAATTACAACGGCAGAAATTTGTTTGGAAATAAATGTGCAGCCTTTGTATAAGAGGTTCCTAAACTATCTGGCCCATAATAATTTGCTAGCCCGAGCAAGCCTGCAAAAAGGCATTGCTACCCCCAGTACTAACAAGAATGAGATTTCATTTTTGGTTCCTAACGCCAGCCTGCAGCTGTGGGGAACAAGACGTGAAGCTAGATGGAATTTTGCACTCCCAAGGCATGACATGTGTCTTGCCAAGCGTATAACCTGGTGCTTAAAGGATGTGTAGCAGTGCAAACAATCACCATGCAGCAAACAGAATCACTCAGGACCTGCTCAGGGCTTTACAATTACTAGTACTGTACCTTATGCCAACATCCTGCTACTGGCAGTCCGTCTGGTCCCTGCAAAATTGAGAGTACAGATTGAATTCCCATTGACATGGACTCAAGTGTCAAGACCCCAAAACCTGAAGCTCAATCTTCACCATAAAAGGTTTAGCCACACCATTAATTGCCATGCAAAACCCATTTACTGTATGTGCACAGAAATAAATATGCAGGCAATGTAACCCATGTGTCACTCACTGCACAAAACTGAATACACCCCAGGGTAAGAATAAAATAACCTACACTTCCTTCTTCCTTCAAACAAAAAGGAAAACGAACAAATACAAAACTTTGGAAGCACACTAAATTAACTTCAGAATCTGCTTTATAAAGTAGTGGGGTTTGCAGTCAGACATATATGGAAAGCATGATGTGGAAATGTATTTTTTTGTTAATATGAGCTTTTTAGTTTGGAGCAGTGATGTAATTTTCTTTTCTGGATGATATCCTTATTGTGTTAAATCTGATCCTGCAGTACTTAGTTCCTTTAAGAAATCTTGCTGAACTGATTGAAATAGGATGAGTTGTGGACTATGCAAAGGGAGTGAAAATATTTGTCTTGTTCTGATGGAGATACAAGAAACATACAGAAATCAAAGCCAGAAGAGCTTACTTTTCCAGGAGGGAAACACTGAAAAGGAAGGAGCCCCTTAGAAGAGAACGGACTATGTGTGACCAACTCTTTCAAGATACTTTAGCTGACTTGAGCTGCCTTTTCTGATGCTGGATTTTTTTAAGGCTCTTGGATCTCTGGTTGCATGAATTTCTGCATGTAGAGCTACAGAGAGCACACATGCACTGACCCTGCCCTCAGAGCCACCTCCAAGGTACCCAGGGGTGGAAGCCACGAGGATGCGCGCGCAGCAGAGAACTGCCGGTGCAGATACAGGTCAAAATGCATTTTTACATTTTTTACTGTAAATGTCAGTCATCACATTTTTTGTATTCTGTATTGATTTTATATGTAAAATAGCCTATGCCCAATAAAACAGATGCAGTGAGTAAGGTTACCCTCTCCAGATACTCAAGAGTGTAACAGGTCGAGTTATTTGCACGTGCTTTCCTCTAACATCAGTTAGAAAACACATTTTTCTGCTGACACCAGTCAGTATTTTGGGTCATAACTATTCCTAAAAAGAAGTGCAACTTGTCAGAGTTGTCAGGGGTGAAGGGGACAAGGTGCAGAGCAGTAGTTCAACCTAGATAGCTCCTGACCTGTTAAAGTGCATCCTGACACCAGTAGGCTCAGGGTTGATTTCTGCCCTGGGCTTTTTCTCCTTGCCTTGCACTCAAAATACTTACTGTGGCCATCATAAAACTCTACACCTTTCTATCATGCTTCACTTGAGTGATTCCAAAATAACTGTGTCACCTTCAGAAGAGCTTTGCAACCTGTGTGTAAGGCTCCTGCTCCTGGACTGAAAGCCATCACTGAGAACCCAGCAAGCCTCCACCATACAGCAGGGTGGAGAACGAAGATGACACTCCCAGAGCCAACATGCAACTAAAGCTTATGTACCCAAGCAGGAAGACATGCAAGTGTTTTACTAACTAGTCATATAGTAGGTTACATATTGGAGAAATCACCTACTGCAGTGCACAATGCCTTCAGTACACAATTTTCTATATAGTGTTTCTGTATAGTTAAGATGGGAGATACTTGGTAAATATAACATCTCTGGGGAGTAAATATGAAGAGTTGAAGCAGGCCTGCTGCTAGTAATTGGTTTCTTTGACACATATGAAAGTAATTTAACTTTTTGAAAGAGAGACAGCTTACTGCCCTTTTGTTTCTCTGAAGACAACTGCAAATCATCTAACATGCAGCATTTCCCATGGGTAAAAAAATGAAACTAAAACAATGACCTCTTCTAGCTAGTCGTGCAGAGCCCTTCTGGGGAGCAGAGCACAAACTTCCCTGCATAACCACTACCCTTCAACCTGACCTACATGCTGGCACCACAAATGCCCTTTAATGCCAGAGCAGTGACCCCTGCTCTGCAGAATTGGCCATTCATTTGAGGAAAGCTTTTCAAAACCCAGCTGGGAAGGCATGAGGGGAATCAAACTGGGCCATAGGTGCTGAGGAAAACCAGAACTAATTGTTAACATAAAGGGGAAACGTCCTCTAGTGTGATGTCTCATTGCTTACACTCCTTATCTAAAGTAGTTTTAACTGGGAGGAAGAAGGAAAAACAGCATCCTTGCCTAAATGCCCAAGTGAAACATCTTGTTCCAGCCTTGCTGCCTTGTGTCCTTCCTCTCCTAGAGGGATCCACTGCTCCGGGGGCTTGACCACAGCAGAAACACACACAAGCCATGCAAGAAGAGGAAAGAGAGCAGATACTGTACCAAAGGGCAGGGCACGCTCACCCCGTCCAGGCCTGGTAAACCTGGGTCCCTTTTGCAGCCTGCAGTGCTGTGATCTGCCTGTTTGAAAACATAACTGCTTGTTGGGAGTGAGAAAGGACACGGGAGTTACTCAGACGGACAGAGGAGGAGTGGTCCAGAACTTTACACCTCTATTTCTGATGACACAGCAAGTCAGCAGAGTGGTTTTATGGTAGGGAATTCACAGACATACAGAGCCTGTCATCTGGGAAAGATCTTCTATACACAAACCAGAGATTCACGTTTGTAACAGCCCAGTGTAAAAGATGAGGGTTAAATCATCCAACATGTTGAGGGAGGAAGGGGGATCCATCAGGAACAAAAAACCTAATTGTAGTTCACATTCAATCTCCAAGCAAAATAAAGCATAGTGATTGATGGAGCTTTTTTTGCTGGTGTAGTGGAGCTGTACAACAGCTTTGATTGCCATAACTGTGCTGGCGGGATGAGAAGAAGTCACTTTTAGACAAGAAATGGGGTTTTGGAGCCTGTTGCAACATGTACCTGGCACTACTAATTAGATGCCTCTGAACAAAGCCCTAACATCTACATTTAAGACCAGGTTGGATGAGGCTTGGAGCAACCTGCTCTAGTGGAATGTGTCCCTGCCCATGACGGGGTTGGAACTGGATGAGCTTTAACATCCTTTCCAACCCAAACCATATGATTCTATGATTCAAGTAGTTTCCAATCGATAAAAATCACTTTTTTCATCCTGCGGCCTCAAAGCATTTTAGAGAAAGGATCTCTCTGGTTTTAGTCACCATGTGAAAGCAGTGATGAAAAGGAGGTAGATTTTACCAGGCCAAGTAACTTGTTATAAACCAGTACAGGTTTTTCTGGGCCCTGTCAAAGGAAGGAGAGGTTCTGGAAATGGATGTGGGAGATCCACCTTCCTCAGGCTCAAACACAGGAGGTTTCCTCCTGGAAAGCCTCTCTGCACACACCGCTTCGTGGTGGACTGGGACGTCTTCAAGATGGGACAGATCTGAGCCATGAGCCGTTATCTCAGGTAGAGAAACATGGGGATGTCTCTTCTCCCAGAGGCACTTTTTGGCAGCCTGGAGAGCTCCAGCTCATCCATCACTTACCTTTGGCAGCACTAAGATGCCACCAACTCTGAACCACATCCCCACACAGGACAGCTAGAGCCAGGCTCACCCCTTGCTTGGTTTGTGGAGACGAAAGGGTGGAATCTTGCTTTCTAGTTGTCTCCCATCCACTGCATGGAGTTACTCCCTGATTTCCAATGTACGCAAAAGCCAGGCCGGCAGCTTCACCAGGGCACACTATCTCCCGAAGAGCATTACTGAAGCCCATTGTTCCTGACTACAATAAGAAGGTCTTTATACAAAGATTCTTTCTTTTTACTGCTATGGCTTGCTCCCATCTGGCCAGTGAGGAGCCCTTAGAGCAAGCAATGAGCTTCCAGCAGTGCAGATAAACCATTAGGAAAAGTGAGAAAACAATAACCATCTGCTCTGATTTACTGCAAAATAAAGAACTAACTGAACCCTCCCTCCCTTTCCCTGGCTTCAAACCCACATCTTTTCCATCCCGGCAACGCGTGCTTAGGGTGACTGAAATAAAGGACATACCACGGGGCAAGGCTGATCCAGTCCGGGGGGGCCTGGTTCCCCCTTCTGCCCTTTGGCTCCTTTTCTGCCTGGTATTCCTCGCTCACCCTGTTGGCACAGCAGGAAGATATCAGGAACAGGAAGGGAAACACCTTGGCTCTTAAGTCACACAGCACTTGCAGAATCCCACACCTCACCCAGAGTAGAGATGTTTGCACTAGTGTAACCACAACTGAGAAATGAAATCACTGTGGAAATCTTCAGTTAAAGCTGGGTGGAGATATTTTAATAGATAACTTGATAACAGAATGACTAAATGACTGGTTTCTGTTAGAAACCAGGTTGGTATCTGACAGTAAATGGAAGCACTAGCTTCCAGCACTGCCCCGTGCTCAGCTGGGCATCCCTTTATTTGAGGATCCCTGGAACAAAACCTTTGACTCTGATGCATTTTCAAGGTCTATAAACCCAAACTAACAATTCATTGCAACCTGGAGCTGTCAGGCTGCCCCATTTCCCCACAGTGCTTGTGCTCGAGGGGGACAGGATTGAAAGGACTTCCCAGTGGGTAGGAATTAACTGGATGTCCTGTCTTGTGCTGGGACCGGGCAAATACCTTTGTGCAAAAAAGGCCTTACAGGGGTGACCTGAGAAACACACCCAGGCTGGAGAGGGAACCAGCACCCAGGGCAAGAGCATCATCCTGCCCCCACAAGCATCTCTGCAGCCAGAACCCACTCACCTTCTCCCCTCTTTCACTTCTCTCTCCTTTCTCTCCTCTGAGACCTGGGAAACCCTGTCACAACCATTTTTAGATGGAAAAGGGCAACAAAAAGAGGTTGGTAAGTTTAGTGTGTGAACATCCCAGCATGACCTCAACATAAGCAATCTTCAGCAATCAACCCATCCTCCCATGGTGAAGAACATGATATTTTCTTCCTGATGCCTTGGTATGTCAGCAGTTTCTTGGGAAAGCTGGCGCTTTACCATACCCCAGTAACATCACAGCTATCAGAGAGTCTCAATTCACTGAGCCCAGTACAAGTACTCTCAGTTGGAAAGGGAAACCCCCACTGAGCAGTTACCCAGCAACTGGCCTGAATTAAGCCCTTTCCTACAGACATCATTCCATGGGCACTGTGTTTAAGGGGCAGCACTCTATACAGGGTTAGCTACGTACTTCTCTAACCATCTCAAGCAATTTGATGGCCTTTGCACGCATGTTTCTACATATCACAAGTAATGTTTTCCATACTCACATCCAATCCTGGCTCCCCGGGTTTTCCCTGCAGTAATAAAATAGTAGTAGTAAAATAAAAGCTCCGACATGCTGTATTGAGTTTGGTGTCACAGACAAACGTATACCCAATTGGTGAAGCACAGGGCTCACCCACCAACCCTTAGGGTTCAAGGGGGAGCCCCTCACCACACCACTGGGGTCGTGCTGGTAAGCCCAGCTCTGGTGGGACCCACTATGGGAAGAGTTTACAGCCCCTATTTTAGGATTATACCACACCACCACCACTGCTTCCCCACACCAATAGTTACCTTCTCTCCTTTGGTACCGGGTAGGCCAATGAGCCCGGGAGCACCTGGGAGACCCTTGGAGAAAAGGGAAACAGCATTGGGACAGCTGCTTTACAGGTTTCTGTTGATGGCCAGAAACGAGACATGGGAAGACAACTCACAGCGGGTCCAGTGTGGCCGTGGTCGCCCTTCTCACCACTGTCACCTTTTTCTCCCTTCGCACCATCCAAGCCCTGCAGAAATGAAATGGCATCAACCAAGATAGACCTGGCAGCTCTGCCACCCCGTGCATCCACCACCTCCTACCACATCTCTGGGGTGCTTAAACCCGCGCTGCTGCTAATGCCTTCCTCCTGACTACATCATATAAGAAGGTAGTTGAAAACACAGGTTTATGCTGTGGGTTTGGAAACCCTGACTTGCAATGTGCCAGCAGCTCTCAGGACTCTGTGCTGGAAGGAGGTTTAGGATCATAAATGTGTTCAGAAGGAAAAATGGCTTGTTAGCTGCAACGCCAAACTGCTCAACAGCATAACCAAGGGATGTGTTGTCACAAAAACATCAGTCCCCAGAGCCGACAGGCCTTTGTGAGCCTGTAAATAATGCACTGGGAAACAGTGGGTGACATTTCATTTATTGACTTACTTTAGGCCCCTGGATTCCTGGAGGACCCTGCAGGAAAGACAATGGTGCATTTGAGAAAAACACAGTTTCAAAACCAAAGCCCAAAGTTCACTTCCCAAACCATTTCTTGCTCAAATTATGGGCTGACAATGGCCAAATATTTCTTTTCAAGACAGGTGGCAGTTTATTTGGTTCTCTGACGTCAAATCAGGGGGAAGGGGAAATGGAAAAGAACATTTTGTGACAATAAAGCTCTGCAACACGAGCTCTGCTGAATGAAGTGACAGCAAGCTCTGGAGGGTGGCATCCTGCCACCATGGCCCTCCAAGCCTGGACACATCCTGGCCTTCCCGATGCCCTTTACAGCTCCTCAGCCTTTTGGAGCATCATATTTTGTAGCATTATAGGTACCAAACACTTGAGATATCTGCACCAAAACTGCTCCGTGTGCTCATCACCACTTGCATCCTCTCCCACTGCAGCTGATGGCACAAATCTTAATGACTTGGGCAAGCTTATGGGAATACAGACACTGTTGCGGTGGGGAACAGGCTTTCTCAACCCAAAACCATATGGTTTTCTCTTTTCCCCATGCCAAGGAACAGTTTGGTTATTTGCAAGACGTGCCATAAACACTGATGTACTCTCCTAAATCAGGCGCTTCCAAAGATAGCACACAATGCTGCAGCTCTTCCCTGATTTTGATCCCAGATCCGCAGCAGCCCACAGCAATTAAACAGAGCAAACCACCCTCGTCCTTAACTAATCACTTGTGATAACTCAATTGCACAAGCTGCTTCCCAGAGCCTTACCATAGGGCCGGGTAATCCGGGGGGTCCGGGCTCGGGTATGATCTGCAGAAGGGAATTAAAGAGCACATGAATGGGACACAGGGATAAGACAGTTTGGGAATGGAAACCCCACGTGGCCAGGATCAGGATTTAGTGCCCTCTGATTAAACAGCTTTAATCAAAATACCTGCTAATCAGAGTTGCTTGTAGTGTTTATAAAGAAGTGAATCTTAATAAGCACATGAATCAAGCTGGCCTCTGGAGTGAGAAGTGTGAGCCATGTATCTGCCAGTCGCAGAATGGATTTAATGGAAAACGATGCCATTCTGTGCACAGACCAGAGGGAACCAGCCCTTTTAGCTAAAATCCCCAAAAAATGCAGAACAAAATTGGAGCTCTCATATCATTAATTAAAAACTACCAAACCCCACCACTTCTGCTAAAAGAAAAAGGCATTAATAAGGAAAAAAGGATGCTGAAATGCTATAAAACTGCAAGGAGCCCAGTATGTTTTCAGAACAAAACGTAATTCCACCAGCAGCATCCAGTATCTCAACCATCAGTTCAAAACCTGAAGTAACTTCACAGTGCTGAGCGTGCAAAGTGTTCTTCCCACAAGGATAAACCCCATTTAGACACATCTGGAAGTTCTTGTAGTTGGGTTTTGCTACCCTTCATTATGCTGATGGATGTGGGACCAGCAACTCCAGCCTGCACCCCCTCACCTCGCCTGACCCCTCATCATGGAAGAGGCTTTATGTTGCCAAGATCTTACATGATTGTTCTGCAAACACGGTGACCCAGTGTCCCCTTTATCTCCTTTGTCTCCTTTTGGTCCTTCTGCTCCCTAAAAGACAGAAACAGAACACTAATGTGCAACACCTCCCAGGAAAGCAAAACCAAGAGAAAATGACATGTCTTCCTCCTAACTTGAGCAAAGCTCATGTTCATCCCCAGGGGACTGAGGAAGCATTTTCTTCTTGCTGCTGGCTTAGATCCCCTTCTGAACAAGCCGTTATCATCATTAGCAAAGGAAATTCAAAGCTCCTGCATCCTCCAGTGACATGATGTGGACAGGTCACTGCTTAAATCAGCAAACCCAGTGTTACCCTGAGCACTTGCAGACATCAGTACATAGAAGAACCAAGCAGCAAACGTACAGGGACAGAGAGGGACGTACCGGTGGACCCGCTAAGCCCATTTCTCCTGTCTCTCCTTTCTGTCCCATGATCCCCGCGCTGCCCTGGTCACCCTTCGCTCCTTTGGGACCCTGGAAGTTTACAGAAAACAACTTACTTAAAAGAAAACCATTCAGAAACAGCCTTTCTGCTGTTTGCCTCCATATTGCAGCAGCACGGGCTCACAAAACCAGATTTTAACATTAAAACTCACACATGCCGCTTTTGTGGGCACAGCAGAATTTGGCTGGGCCAGAGCAGGAACTGGAGCCACTTAGGGCTGGGGGGGTTTACAACAAGGTTTGATGTGTCTGATAAACGGAGCCCCTCTAGCTCGGCAGATGTGGCCACGAGCAGCATCTGCACTCTCATAGCTGAGCATGGGGCCATAGGCAAAGGGTGGTTAATGCAAGGAGATGCAGCTGAACGTTTTGGGGCAGAGCTTGCCCTTGGCAGGCTGAGATTTGCTTTTCACAGCGACAGCTCTCACAGACACACAATAAGCTCCTTTTCAACTCAGTTCCTGCGAGGTCTCACTTGACCCGGCCATGCCCCACGCACCTTCTCACCATCCAGCCCAGGCGGACCCGGCAAGCCCAGCTCTCCCTGCAGTGACACAAAGAAAAGGGAGCCCATAGTAAATGGAATCGGGAAATCATCGCAGGGAAGCATTTTCCAAGGAAACGAGTTATTCACATGTATCAGCTGTTGTTGTGGGTTTGCCATTGCCAGGCTTGAGAGCAGCAGTAAGAATGCTTCATAGGATCATAGAATGGTTTGGCTTGGGAGACACTTGCTACATGGAGAACCACTAATGACCACATCAGTCTATAGGAAACACTGTGTGCCTGGTAGAGGTTGGGCTCACCTTTGGACCTGGAGCACCTTGGGGGCCTGGTGGCCCTGGGGGACCTGGTGAACCCTGAAACACAGCAAAAAAACCACGGATGAGCATGATGAATATGGCACATAATCCTTGGATGAGCTGGGAGCAGCTCCCAGCCGCAATCTACAACAGACACTTGTGTGACTGGGGTTGCCTGAACATCATGATGAGTTCAGCTGACATGAAGTGACCAAGGGCCCCTCTGGCCATTCATGCAAAAGGAAACACAATTGGAGCTAGCTGGGGGTACTGGTGCAGCAGTACGTGCGGCAAGAGGCAAAATGCCTTCAGCTGGACGTGTGGCCCCAAATCTGATGGTCTCTTTTTGCATTCTCCCCTCTTCCAGCTGGCCTGGGGAAAAATCCAGCTGAAAACAGGGATAACCAGCCAGGGAGGTGCAGTTGAAGAGGGGAAATGAAGGAGTTCGGGTGAGCAGGAAGACCTTGCGCACATAAATAGGCTGGTTTTGCTGTGCATTGCTGGGTGTGGACACCACGAACCACCTTGAGACAAACAACTAACTCGGAACTTGTGAATTATCTCACGCAGCAAAACCTCATGTTCTCGCTCAGCTGAAAAACAAGCCAGCACCATCTCCTCAAGCACCTTTTTCCGTGACTGCACACTCAAATACAGTGACATTTAATCACAGCAGAACCCTTTGCAAAGCTCTGCCCGTGAGACAGGTCAGTGCACAAACACTGCAAACAGCTCACAAGCAGGAAAACGGGAATGTTAGTGAGGTTCAGTGATGTGCCCTTTGGCAATCTCCACATGCAGAACACGGGAGAGGGGCTGGGCCCGGCACATGAAGTCTCCAGATGTTTCATGGAGCCTCTCCAACCACTGCAATCCACAAACCCCACTCACAAAGCTGCGTGCAGACACCTGGCAAACACAGTAGTTACCATCACTTTGTGTATCCCTGCAGCCTGTTGTAAAACAATGAGGATGCGTCTCAAATATGTCTGTATTGATTCTATTCAGGTTCTTTCATCATAACAAAAATGGCAGGGTGCTGCTGGGTCGGGCAGGTTAGGGCTCAGGCACCGTTTCCCTTTCTCCTGCATCCCAACTGCTGCTTGCAAACAAAACCACTCCAGGGGATGCAGAGGGAAAACCACAGTTCCACAATGTGCCATGGGAATAACACCCCGCAACCCGCAGTGTTTTAGCTGTAATTTGGCTGCTCACACTCACTGCATCAGTTGGGGTTGCTTTTACCTGCAGAATATTAACTCACATCCCACAGCTGGACCCCACCATCCTGGTACCCAGCCTGAGCTCACAGCCTTGAGTGTTGCCATCGTTTTTCCTGGTACACCTAAATATCCTCAGCCCCAAGATGAAATCAGCTCTTGTCCTTTCCCATTAACCCACAGGAATCAGCATGGCACTGGAGCAGGGCTTACCTTGAGAGCATCCAGGATTCGGCCATCGTAGTCAATCACTACAGTGTCACCCTGTTCCCCTTTCAGGCCGGGGGGACCCTGCAACCAGGACGAATCCTATTTAGTTTTGCAGCATCTGAGAAGCAGGTGGTATGAAAGCAGAGACCTGACCCCAGTGTTTGGGGATCACCTTAAAACACCATTGATTTAATCCATTCCTAGTCTGACAGCTCTAACTGCCATCCAACCAAACCTTCATTTGGGTAATGAACACTTGTGCTTGAACACTGCCAGGGATGGGGCAGCCACAGCTTCTCTGGGCACCTTCTGCCAGTGTCCCACCACCTTCACAGGGAAGAACTACTTCCTAATATCTCCCATAGCAGCGTTCAGTACCTACATGTGGGTTTGTTTAAATAAGCATCATCTCTATTTTCTAGCACTGAACTGATCCTGAGGCGATTCAGCCACAGACTAAGCAGAAAGAGGTGGTGGGGAACAGCTCAGGTCAAGGCAAATGCACAATTCCAAACTGAAAAAGCAGAACCCTAAACATCCATACCCGGGGTCCGATGGAGCCAATTCCTCCCTTCTCACCAGCTTCACCCTGAAAAGCAAAATCACATTTTTGGTTCACAGAGACCAAGGGAAATACAGGGTATTCATCTTAAAACACTGCGACTACGTGAGATGCCAAGATATGTTTTAGATTAAGAAACTATGGCACCAACAGGGAACTGCTTCTAGCGAAAAAACCAGGTTTGACTTCAGATCTAATATATTTTGCACAAAATAACATTGCTGTGAACTAGTTGACAGCAAGAAAACATCTCATTGCAGATGAGATGGAGCAGAGTGGCCTGCTTGGGGCTGAGCATCAGGTACCCCTGTAAGGGTGATGCGCGGTGCTGCTCCCCAGCTCCGCTGTTTTCTCGGAGCGTGCCAAGCTCCAGCTCTTCATGCTGAAGCTTCACACGGCTCCACCTTTGCTTTAGGCTAAACTCTGCACGTTTGGAAAGTTTCAGCTGACGCGTTTAAACCGTCTTTGAGCGTGAGTTTAAGGAAAAGGGCTGCGGCAAGTTTCCTCCCCTCCATTTGCTGGTCAAATTAAAGCCCTCTGGAAAGTGGAAAATGGTATAAACAGAAGGACTCTCCATAGGAAAACTCAATTCAGCAGATACCAGGGGAACAAACACTGATAATGTGGTTTTAGGAAAACCATCAATGGCTAAGGGCCACCTGCGCCCGTGTTTCCTCATCATATACAGTCGCTTGCCCAACGAGGAGCCATGACTGATACAGAAACACATCCTGCTAAATAAGCAGCAGCTGAGGAGGGAATTAACAGCCCACGAGTGCTGTCCAGGTCTCACCATCACCATTTAACATATCAGTATCTCTTGTTGCATTGCTTGGCAGTTAGGAAGGTCGGTACAACAGGATGGCACATAAGCGCGCTGGGCTTTGAAGCGGTGCCGCGACCGTCAGTGCATCGGATCAACATGTGAGCAGAGGGTTAGGTCTCTTGGGGAAACCCAGGCAATTCAATAAAAACCACCTTAAAAACTTACACGGATCTCTGCTCAAATGCAGCTTTCATTGAACTACCTGAAAAACCTAAAATGCTTCTTGACATCCCCCTGATTTGCTTCAGTTTGGGCAGTTTATGAGCCTTTAGAAGGCACCCTCCCTCAGCTGAAACCCTGTGCCTCAGCAGTGCTGCGCCCAGCTTCCCAGCTGATGGGCTTTTACTTACCTTGGGTCCTGGCAAGCCATCTGTGCCATTCTCTCCCTTGGGACCCACGCTTCCTTTTTCTCCCTGAAGACAAGACAATTTGGACAAATGCTATAATGGGTAGGACTGAGAATGGATTTATTCAGGTTACAATTGTCTTGCTTTATCTTTACTTTTACACATGAGTGAGCAAAGCTCTCCTTCTAGCCTGAATACATCACATTGCCTAGGTGCAAAAGGGGAGGTTTTGAGATAAAATGAAGTTTTCTGGCTTAATGGCTGCACGTGGGAGGTTCAGCCATAAAGTTAGCTCCAAACCCACAGCATCTGGGAAAGGCTCCCATGGAGACCCCCCCTGCATCCACATCCCAAACCCCAGCTTCAGGCCAGCCCCAGCAACACTCCTCAGTTTAGTGCTGCAAGAGGAGCCTCTAAATGGCGATTCTCTGCCATAGTCAAGTTGTGTCTGCAAACTTCTACGAAGAGCTGCTGTGGCAGAGGGATGGATTATGCTTCTCTTTCTCATTTACTTTTGTTCTTTTCCCATGTGACAGAATCACAGGATGTTTTGGGTTGAAGGGACCTTAAAGCTCATCCAGTTCCAACCCCTGCCACGGGCAGGGACACCTTCCACTAGAGCAGGCTGCTCCAAGCTCCTGTGCCCAACCTGGCCTTGAACACTGCCAGGGATGGGGCATGTCAAGGTAGAAATGTGCTTCTCAACCTGCCCCAACTGTGATACTGTGCCAAGAAAACACATAGTCAAGATGCTGCCAAATATTTACATTAGATGGGCACAGGGCAGAACATACCTTTGGTCCCGTAAGTCCTGGTTCCCCAGGGATCCCATCATCACCCTGGTGACATAAAAAGTGAAACACAAAGAGCTTGTACACACTCATCATAGGATCCAACACACCATTTGACCCCCACTCAGCGTTGCATGGACCCGAGACCCACTCAGGTTGCAGGAGAAAGCTACAGGAAGGAGCCCAGGAAGCTCCAGCATGGTCCCCTGCTCCCACCCAGCTCTGCTTCCCCTGCTCCCAGGAAGGTGGATGGGATCTCCCAGAATTTCCTTACAGCAGGCTCTGGGGAAGGCGCAATCCCCTTGTTAATGGAAATTAGATATTTAATCCATTCAGACTTGTTTTGGTCCCAAAGACCTCCTGCAAGCTGCCACCCATCCTTACAGACTTCATCAGCACACCCATCTGCCAGCTGTCCTTGTTCCACTCATCACGCTTCATTGTTGTCTTGGAGTAAACCCACTCCATAGGTGCTGAAGAGGTTAATTTTACAGGCCAGTTATGAACTGGCCACGTCTGTTTTGGGAGCAAAGCAGTAAGAGGGAAAGGCTGGGGCCTATCAGTGCTTTGCTTCAGTTAAAGGCAGTGATTTACGCACTGCTCGATGGCACCACCAGAAGAAAACATGGAGAACCGGGGCACGCAAACCTCCTGCAGTCTTCAACACCCAACCCAAGCAGTGTGCCTGTCCCTACGAGAGTGGCAATCCCCATGAGACCGAGGTGCTGTGTGCTGATGTCTGCCCCAGGAACCTCAAACCCATCACGGGGACAGATAACAGCCCCAGGCGCTTCTTGGTTCAGCTCGAATTGTTGGAGAGAAAGGGCTCAAGACCTACTGCTTTGTTTGGCATTTGCTACTTCATTCTTTGTCTATTGGGCAGATGTGATTGCAGCTTCTGGCTTGCTCGTGGTAATAAAAACCAGGCTGCAGGCACAGCCATGCCCATGCTTTGGGGCTGCTTGGGAGAGAAGCCCCAGGGAATACAAGGAAGTGCTCAGTATGGACAGCCACGACCATGGATTCTCCATTGGTCTCTGGCAGTGGTTTCCTCAGTTGAGCACAGAGCAGAGCAAAAGGAAATAACAACAATAAAACATATACATTTATATCCATATAAAAATCACTATTTTACCTTTTTCCCTTGGATACCAGGCTCACCCTTCAACAGCAACACACACAGAGGAGAAAAGTTTAGGGACATAACAGAAAATAAGCCAACTTGTGTGGATAGTCAAAGTCAATTGTAACATTAAAATACTTGGTTTGTGTTGATCATCTCAACCCCCCCCCCAAAATGCAAGGAAGCACATTCCCAGAGCACAACAGCTTCCAGCCCCCTGTGGCTCCCTCCACCCTCAAGCCAAGGTTTTAGCACGGGCAGTGGTGTGATACTGAGTAGGTGACACTTTCAGCTCCAAGTCAATGGCTAATGCAAGACCTTGGAAGTTTTTGTATCTGCTATGAACATATGAGTGCAAGTCCACTGCAAAATAGGTATGTTCAGTAGTTCCTGTTACAATTAGGCAGATGAGAAATTACTTATTACTCACCTTTGGCCCTGGAGGTCCCCTGGCACCCTGTTGAAAATAAGAGCAGTTGTTCGACTATTAATAGAGTATAACAGGATAAAAACATTCCCAACAGATACCAACTTCTCATCTCCCCTTACAACTGCAGCTGCAACTTCTCTGTCCTCCCAATAAATAACATATATGCTTTTAGGTCTTGTGTATTTTATGGATAATAAGCACCTTTTTATCTAACCTAGACCATAGTGAACTGGAGTTTCAATGCCAAGATGCTTCAGAGGGGCAGCAGTGGGGATACAGGAGCAGCCCATCCCTCCAGAGGAGCCACGGGGACAAAGACTGGCCTCTCTTCTCCCCAGGGCACTGGTACCCCTGGGCAAACATCCATTTTAATGCCCCTATAATTTCCCATGGAGTTTCTTTGCTCTCCATAAACAATGACACAAACCCACTTGCTGCAGCAAGCTGAAGGGGGATGTAAAGCGAGGGGGGCAAGGGGCACACACATGGATGCTCCTGGGCAATACTAACCACGAGGCCTTCCTCTCCCGGCTCGCCTTTGAGACCCTGCAAAGCAAAAAGGCCAACATTGAAGCTACTGCCCCGATTCTCCAGGATGCTCACCCACAATCAGGGTGTTCAGCAACCTTATGGTTTAGCCTATTTTCTGTTATTAACTAGATTGCCAGTGATCTGGAAATTTGCAACAGGTCATCCAACGGCTACAGATTGGGGAAGGAGATCTCTGGACTCACCCAGGTACAACCAGCACCTGAAAATACATAGAATCATAGAATAACCAGCTCTTTGCTCCAAAACCAAGGATGGAATGATGGAATGCCACCTCCTGCTCCCCTGGCCCCATGCCCCAAGGCTTTGCTGTATGAGCAGCATCAGCATGGCTCAGGCTGGGGACCCAGTGGTTGGGGTGGCAGTACTAGGATAGGGGACACCCTTCACCCTCCTCTTCCTCACTGGGGCAGGCACTGCCTGGTGTGTGTTCACTGTGCATCTCCCATCCTTACAGGGGGGCCTGGAGGTCCTCTTGGGCCATCCTTTCCCGTGTCACCAGGAGGCCCCCGGGCACCTGGGGGTCCTGGAGGACCAGGGGGACCAGTGGCTCCATCTCGACCTTGATCACCCTGGAAGAAGTTCACACAGACACGATGAGGTGAAGCGGCGCTGGCGAGAGGTGGCTGCGAGACATGCACTGCATCCCTGGGCCATCAGCACCCCAGCCTCTGCTGTCCCAGAGGAACGTACTCACAAGCTTCCAATTGGGAAGGCTGGAAGTGAGCTCATGGCCAATTCACACCCTTTGGGGCTGGTTTCTTAACCAGGATTTTGCTCAATGCCTTCCAATGAGTTTCTAGCTCGTTAAGTGCTTTGCCCAGTGACTGTCTGCATGGAAACTACTAGAAATAACCAGACTCCACAACATGCTGGCACGGGGCATGCACACACTCCCACAGCTCAGTGCACCACACCAAAACACCCGCAGAAATAAGTAGCACTTAGTTGTACCCTTTGAATACAGCCAAGGTCATATATGAACATCTAGTGCGGGTCACACTCTGCATTGCTGGGATGCAAAGGAAACAGCAGCAGCTCTGTCTGTGTGTGATTGTGAAGGTTTGGTGGGTGCCCACTCTGATGGGGGGATGCTCCCCATGGGGCTCCCATGGGGAGTTATCAGTTCCCAACCCACCCAGAGCTCTGGCTGGGCACATCCATGCGGATGCACAATGGAAAGCCTCACGGAAAGGCCACCTCATAAATCTTCTAGCAACATCTGGAAGAGTCACCACTGAGGCAGTAAGAGGACTGTGTTTAATATGTAGTCTGCCCTTAAATCGGGGACAAGTGTGGGATTTTTCACAAGTCCTTAAGTGACTTAGCAGCACAGATCCCACGGCCTTTCAACAAGATCTGTGCTCCTAAATCACTTGCAGAGTGGGGAAAAAAAAGCCCATTGCAAATGCTGAACACTGCATCCAATTATGTCAAGAGACACTGAGTTTTGCCTAATTATAACGTCACATTTAGAGTAAGAGGATTCAGAGAACTCTAGTTTTAAAGCATTTTATTTTACCAGCACTGTTCATCAACATCTATAGGACTTCGCTGCTTGATTCCCAGTTCTCAAAGGACCAGATACTAAACCCCACCACTTTATGTTCCTCTGCTTTGACAAAACTCCCCTTGAATGCCAACGGGGTTTCACTCAGGCACACTCCCAACAAGCACCTCTGAATGGTAGCGACCATAGTGCACTATCAGCCAGAAAGAAGCAACTCAAAAGCAATTCAAAGGAATCACAGCAAACCAGCAGCAGCACATTTGACAAGTCTACCTTGAGCACTCGCCGGCTAAAGACAAGCTGGTCATTAGCCAGAAATCCATGATTGAGGTGAGGAAAAACCATCTAGCCAGATACAGTGGGAGGCAGAGGAGGAAAGAGCAAGAACTTAGATGAAAGCACAGCAGAAGAGCGACTTTTAAAGGCTGTAACAATAATATAACATTTTTTCTTTGATAATTAAATACTGAATAAGGAAAATTAAGGTAGGTAGCCAACAGTGGTGGCTTTAATGTTCTGGATACACTGGAGCTTGGTAGTTAGTAAACAGAGGGAAAAAAGTATCTTTTCATTAGTTTACTGCACAATAGGACATTCAAAGCAGCTGGGGCACAGAGGATTCCCCCACTGCAGGGCTTTCTGCAGAATAAAGAGCATTATTCCAGTAGACCCCACAGGGATATATCCCAGCATTTCTCCCGAGACCAAATACTATCTTTTTTTCAGAGGCTAAAATGAATACTAATGTATTCCCCAGCCTGTAAAATGCAGATAAATCTCTCAGATTTATATCATGCAAAAACAATGTATTCAGACCATGTCAGTAGTCATTGCTATTGTCTTTTAGCCTTTGCACTTATCTATCTAGGGAAAAAGAGACATTTCCTTTCTCAGGACACTGCTTGTGTCTCCTTTTTCCCCCCCTCCCTCCCTGCACACATCCACAGGAGGACCAAAGGGATGGTGCGAAGCCACAAGAAGCTCTGTGGGAACACACAGCACATCCTCCATGAAGATTTTGGAAGGCTTCTGAGGAACAAACCTCTCATCCATTCATCCAGGGACCTTTTAAACCTTTCGCACAAACAACAGACCCCCAAACCTGTGCTTTGGGGTCAATATTGCACAGGCAAACCCACCTCCTGCCCCGCTCCCACAATAGGCTCAGTAGCAGGCATGCATATAGGTACATCGAGCATGGATGTTCTAACACAGTCATCTTAGAAAGGGAAGAGAAAGGCAGCCACATGGAAAAAACTGACCAACCCTGGCAAATAAACTCCTCCCAAGGATTTCTTTCAAGCCATTCTGGGGAGCAACAATGCTGAAATCCTCAGATTTTAAAACCCCAAGTTGATGCCACACTGAAATGAATGGGGACAGAGAGCCCTGGTGCTTGGCCAGATCTTCCAGATACTACAGAAACCAAAAAGGCTCTACTGGGAGCAAAGGGGTTTGTGGTAGACCCAAAGGACTGAGTTTTATGGCTTCTTATGTGCATGAAGATACACAAAAGCATTAAGTGGGATTTGCAGAAAACCCCAAGGAGTAAGGCAGGAACCAAAACCTTTTTCTTACCCCTCAGACTGCTGAGCACCATCCAAGTAAAGAGCTTCCAAGCCCAGGGAGCGAGTCTGGTTTATAAAACACAGTCCTTTTCATTAGCATAGCACTACATTTGACTTCAAGAGACGAGTACAAGCACAAGTACCAGGGCACAGCAGTCCCAGCCTTGGCAGCATCCTGCTTCAACTCCCTCTTTCCAACCTGGAGCAGAGGGAATCTGTTCTCGGTGTCTCCTTTTAAACCCACTCACATGCTTTTTGTCAGTGTGTCTGATTATGCTTATTCTCCATCCTGACAAGGTGAGGCTGCACAACAACCCTCCTGATGCCATGTGCAAGAACTAGTGCTCAGTGCGGTGGCAGTCCCAATGTGAACTCTTCATTCAGCTCCCCAAAATCACTCTCCAACAACTGCCACCAGACCCATTCACACGTGCAATAGTCTCTTTTTTGTCCATGCTGGTTGCAGGTGTTTATTAGAGACAGAAAGAGAAGCAGTGCAGACAGGAACACGTTCAGTAGCTAGTCTCTAATTGCCTTCATCTCACTTCCACTGCAAGAGATCTGCCTTGGGCATCGCTCTCTTTTAATCTATCATTCCTAATGATAATATTTTTTGTGCTCACTGACACACATTATCCCACTTGACTGCCCATAGACACACATTTACGAGGGAGAGGGCACTGGATATATCCCTAGTTATTTATCCTCCCATTGATGCGATGACTTGCTGCAACACATCTTTCAAAATCAGATGAACAAAGCCAGCACTGAAGCTTGAGGAAGAAGATAGATTATATTAAGAAATAAAAACCAATCTGTGCCAGAAGTTTTGTGTCCAACCCACAACCCTGGCTGCAGACATAAAGGATGCTATTTTCAAAACCAGGCACCAGTTTCCACATCTACTTTTGCATGGCTCTGCCAGGCTTGTTTCGCTCCCTTTCCTCCCAAATTGTTTGTGCGCCTTTGCGTTGCTCTTGTGCAAAGTAACATAAATGAATCTAAAAGTAATAAAGATCAGGATTAAACAAAAAAGCTCGTATTTTGATTGGTAGGTTAAAACATGGGACAAGAGTTACCTCGGGAGCTGGCACTTGCCCCTGTGAGTCCAGATGGAGCCTGTCCCCTGAGCATGTCCCGCTGCAGGAAGTGGGTTCCCACATCATCCAGCAGCACGGAGCACAGCAGCCTTGAGCAGCATCTCCTCTGGCATTGCCCAACTCACCAGCCTCAGAGTCATCCAGAGCCCCAGTCAGGGCGTGAATCACTTCCTAAAGCCTTTTCTGAGTACGGGGTGGGCACTTGGGCAACGTCGGGTCCTTACACCAAGCTCCTCCTTAGCCATGCAGGGCATAAATCTATGGGAGAAGTTTTAGGGGCCCAAGAACCCAAGGGAGACGTTTCCAAATGTACCCAAGGCGGTTGGGAGCTGCTTCAGGAAGTGACACCAACTTCAAATACTGAGTTAGGAGCCTCTAGGGGAAAAGAGAAAAATGATCCCGAGGCATCTCTGCCCCCATTAACCACCGAGGTCCTGGTTGTGCTTCCAGCAACCGCATCCAAACCTACCAACCGGCCCTTAGGTGCCAGCTCCAAATCTGGCCTCTGCCTAAGGACCATACACCAGCATCTCAGCACACCCCCACCATGGGGTTCCCAGCAGGAGCCCGTAACTCACTCTGTTACTATGGCAGACCTCACCTTGGAAATACCACACACCTCATACTAAGCCTTCCTGTTTCATCCCAACATGGGAGACTTTGTGCTGCTGCTGCCACCACCAGCACCACAGGGAGGACCATGGGACAACCACCTTCCCGTTGTGCCCCATGGGGACCTATCCTGATGCGCTGCAGTAGATGTCAATTCCATGCAGCCCCATGAGAGCCATTTCCACAAAACTCCATGAATTTCCATATGTTACAGCCAAAACAGTTTCCCCTCATTATACAGTTAATTTAGACCCTTTATTTTCAGAGGCAGCCCTTGGAGTGTGACCACACTTCCAGATGGATAACTCAGCAAGAGAGGAGGAACTCTCCATCCTATACAACACCATGCCAGGCCTTTCCTTGGGACACTAGGTCTTACCAGCACATACTGGTGCTCTAATGCCAACAAACGAGTAGCACGGATTCAATAGAAACATGGAGTTTGTCTCTGACACTGGATGAGGGAATTTGGGATAGGCAAGTCCAGTAAAAGCAAAAACCTTCATGAAGTACCCGAAGGTCTTCAATTCTTGCTTCCCCCATGGTTAAAAACAGGAAAACCATCACAAAATGCTCCAAAAGCAAAATTAAACGTTTCCAGAACTGTTGCCCTACCTCCGTTTGCAGTGACAAAGCTGCACAAAGCCTTGTTCTGTGCAGTGACCAAACCCAAGCAGATCTTAGTACAAATCAGTGTGCTGTGTCACTACTTACCCTCGGGCCGATGTCCCCTGCTTCACCCTGTGCATCAGGCAAAACAGCAAGGGTCAGCTATTAGAGTTCAAATTGCAACCACAAAGGACCAAGCGCAGGGTCAGCTGCATGCCGGAACAGCACAGAAGGGAAGTGGCAAGAATCCTATTGCTTAACGTATTCAAAACCAGGGAGGAGAAGGGCTTGAGGCAACACAATAGGGACGATTCTGCCCTGGCAGGCGATGAAACAGATAATAAATCAGAAATAGCAGATTGTTTCCAACTCTAAGGCTCCCCTAGCAACTGCTTATGTCCTACACATGCGAGGATTAACTTCACTTTCAGTACAGTAAGGACCTTCTTCGGCTGATCTAGTTTCATGGGAGGATGACATGCAAACACAGAGCGATGGAGCCCGCAGCCGTGCTCCTGGCGGAAGGCAAGAAGAGAGCTGTATGCCGCTCTCCTAACCCTTAAGGTGTGACCATGAACCCTACAGCATCAATGAGCTTTAAGGACATACTTATTCCTCCTACATTTTTGCAATTATTTCTGCCCTCCCCTTCCCGAGGTTTTCCTAAGAGCAACCTGAGAACCCGCTGTCACAGCTCCACATCCCAACAAAACCCATCGGTAATGTCATGCTGGTGTATTTGGGGTAACCTGAACTGAAGGAATTACAGCAGGAGGAGGATATACAGCTGCTTCCCCTAAAGCCACGTGTAATGCAGTCTTTACCTTTTCCCCTTTTGGTCCTGGAGGTCCCTGGAAATACATAAGAAGGATCCAAGTTAAGAAATGGCAGAATCATCAATGCACTTAACATCACTGCGTTTATCAATTCACAAACCTGAATCATTAAGTTAAACATGCTATGATTTTAAGCTATGCACTGCTTTACATGAACAGCACTCTCCCCAAAAACACCAACAAGGTCCTGCCTGCCTCTGCCAGGCCGGAGGACCGGAGCAGGACCAGGGCAGGGCAGGCAGCGTGACAGTCGCTCACAAACACATGACTCTAAATAGATGCAAGAGATTTCTTGAAGTATTAAATCACTTCTAGAAAAACACATGCTCAGCATATCATTACAACAATTATACATCTGTTTGGAATAAACAAGGAGGATGGGCTGCTTTCTTTGGCCTGTTTGTTGAAGACATAAGTCATCTTCCCTCTAAGCAGCTCTCTGTAAGGCAGGCAGGCAGAGACACTCTGCAGCCCCTAAGAGAAGTCACAGAGCAATGCTTTGATGTGCCTGCTCTGCATCCTCCTTCCAAGCACAGATAAATACTGAATCTTGGGGGTCAGCCCAATTCATGGTGTTTGCTGAAGCTGGACCTGGTGGGATGCAGTGGGGGAAAGTCAGCAAAGAGGCCGGCAGTGGCAGCATCTGCCTCCCCCCGCAGCATCCGTCCCGCTGTTCATCTGGCTCAGAAGCAAGGCTCCTGGCCCCTTACCCTCATGGAAGAGATCATAAAGAGTCTGGTTTGAGTTTGGCCATTTGATAAGTTTGCTTTCTTGATGAGATGTTCCCTGCCTCTCACTCAGAGCCCCAGCGCACGCACACAGCTCGCAGCAGTCCACATCCATGCGCCTGCCAAGGGCAGTGGGCGCAGGAGCCTGCTGCTGCTGCTGGGGTTTGTGCTGCTCTTTGATCATGGGGCTTTGCTAATTCAAAGCCAAACCCTGAGCCCAGCGGTCTGAGCTGGCCTTTTTACTTTTCTAATGCTTTATTTCTAGGTTTCTTCTCGTTCACATTTGTTACCTTAAGAGATAGGATGAAGAACCACAGCAATGTACAGCTATAGCAAAACACTCCCGAACTGGCTAGAAATAAGCATCTGGAGTAACTTTTTGATTGCAAAGCCTGAACAACTTCTGCCCGCTTTGAAAACCACAGTTGGTTTAGGACCAGAGCTTGGAAAGATTTCATGTGGTGCCCTCTAGTGAACGTGGTGGAATTGAGTGGGATGTTGGCACAAAACAGAGATGTGACCTCCTGTAGCAACCACCCAGCTGAAGGGATTGGAGCTGGCTAGGGTGAAGTTAGCATAAAACTAATAAAGTCTGTGTTTCTGTAAAATAAGTAAGAAAAAAGAGCAGAGAACCTGAGTAACTGAAGGGCTTCCAAGCAAAAATGAAGTCAAGAAAACAGCTCATAAAGTCAAGTCCAGGCTGTCCCACAAAGTACTGGATGGACACCGAGCACTCTCAAGCAGTTCCATCTGGGCTTCTCTGGGGGAAAATGGACCCAATTTGGGAACAATTATCTTTATGACAGCCCTTTTTAGTGCCAAAGCACGCAACAACCATCACTGACTTTGCTTCTTCCAAGGTGCTACTGGGGTTTATTTCCCAACTTGGCCTGCTGCAAAGCCTTCACTAGCCACCATGAGCTGACAGGTAAAGCAAAGCTCACCTTGAGCTGTGCCGGCCAGCCCTGGCTCACAATATAAACTTGCATATGTTACAGACCATAGAAAAACTTTCCTAAATACAATCTCGCCTCCTAAACCCTTACACATGTAGTAATGAACAAGTAATAGCTGCGATTCTGCCTATGCATTGCGCAGCAGTGTGAATAAAGACATGTTACGTTTGGCACTCGGTGCTACTTACTGGTTTGCCATCCAAACCAAGAGGCCCCTGGGAAAGGAAGCAAAAGACAGTGTTATTAAACCCCAGAAATAGTAAAATAGAACCCCACCAATTTACAGACACAGCGATCAGACATGCTCTGAGAGAGGCTCTACTTGCTTATAGTACTATCTTTGGCTATGTTACTTGTACACCTGATCCTTCATCCATGCAATCCAGCAGGAAGGTTTCACAGAAGTACAGTAAGAGGCATCAAACCATTTGCAGAGGATGAAGGAGCATGAAAGGAAGCGACAGGATTAGTGGCAGGGACAAGGTGACACTGCTCTGGCAGTGAAACATGCCTGATTTGGGTAAACTGAGCAGATGCTGGGACTGATTCACATCAACCTCGCACCTGAACTATTTGTTTTGCAAAAGAACCTGCTGAAACACTACCATTTTACCCAAGATGTGGGCATCAGCCAACACCCCCAGTCCATAATGGTAAATCTCATTGATGGGTGTCTTGCTGCAGAGGAAGGAAGGGTGCATCTGCCCTGTTGGATGATACCTACATGCTTGGCCCACCTGCAGTGATACAAAGCTGGAAGCACACTTGTATCTGCAGGACCAAGCACTTAGTTACCCAAGTTCTTCCCCAGGTCTCCCTTTCTAGGGCTGCTGAAGGGGTGCATGGCAAATCAATATGAAAAATGCTTATTTCCCTACTATTTCTAGTATGTAAACCCTTAATTAACATGAAGTCACTGAACAAGTTTGGCCGTAGGAAACCTTGCTTTTGAGAAAGGATGCATGTGGGGAGAGGAAGCACAAGGTCCATGGATGAACCCAAAGCTGCTGTCAGCTGGAGCTGGCACACAGGCACTTGGGGATGAAGAGGAGCACACAACAGTTAAGGTAAATCCCAGAACTGCATTTCCACCCATGAGCTTAAAACCTTTCTTCATTTAAATCCAAAGGCTCAGCCCTGCAAACTGTTCCTGAAGTGACATGGTTGAGAGGCAGCAAAGCCCTCAGACAACTGCTTCTACACCCAGGTTTGCAACATGCTCATGTGCAGATGTGCTGGGCCAAAAACATCTTCCCACGTTACAGCCCTGTAAACCTGGAGAACCCACCAAAGCAAATGTAGTTCAAACTGTGGCATAACACAACAATAAAGCATCAAAGTGGTCTGTATTTCTTAGGGAACTGATTAGGGTGAGCCCTTCATAGCCCAGCTTAAATCTGTGATGGTGAAATTGAGCAAAAAGAGAAAGATGGGTAAGAGAAACCCAAAGGCAGCATTAAAACCAGCATCCTTCCAGCTCACAGCTCTGGCCATCGATAAGGAATAAATCAGTCTGCAGGGGCTGTGGTGATGGGGTTTAGGATATGAAACCCTGGACACACAGAGCTTTGTTAGGAAGATGAGGTAAATCCAGGTAGCTGAATCCTGGGCAGGGCATCGGTACCTGTGTTACAAGGACTGGGGGACCTGCACAAGAGATGTCCACCTGAAAATAAATGGGGATTTCTTTACACATCCCAGGTTTCTGAAGCAACAAACACCAGTTCACATGGTGTGCGTTGTTTCTCATAAGGGACTAGCAATGCACAACTGCTACGGAGTGGTGAAGAAAGATATAAATGAATGCAGGCACATCTGTCAACGCAAAGTCTTACAGGTCACAACCAAACTACTACTTCTCCCCCTAACACCCCTCCAGACTTTAGCTCACCTCAATTCCTTACATTATAACAGGTGGGAAACACATCTGGCCCATGGAGCTTCTTCCTGAAACTATGACTGAGGTAATTCACCTGATGCAACTATCTGACCTCCAGAGGACAAGGTGTGGGCCCTGAGCACAGATTTTGAGCATATTCGACTTCTCAAAGGAGTAGAATCCAGACTTTTTTAAATTTACAATGCCAATTCATCAGCTTTTAGCTATTCTTGTATCAGTCCACAAAGGCACATCCAGAAGGAAAAACAATGGCCTATTCAAAGGATGTTTGTTTGAGGGAAAGCATTTCATGCTTGAGAGAAACAATACCCATGGGGCTTTCAAAGAGGGCCTTGGCTAGCTGTGCTGCTGAATGGACAAGACTAACTCAGACTTTCAAATGTCTTGTTAGTCTGGGCTGGAGATTTAATTGACTGAGCTCTACCTGCCCAGCCAAACGTCTACATGAGCAAAGGGAGGGTTTCCAGCCAGAGGGTTGCATGTGTAACATAGGAGAGAGCATCTGAAATCTGGGCTTCTGATTGCCTGCAACTTTCAGGAGCACCCATGTGTTGAGGTTGTTATTGTCTTTTATTTGACTTCTGCTCCATGTCATTTTAATTAAAGATGAAGCAATCTTTAGTTTATTTGATAACTAAGGAACAGGAAAACAAGTAACCCCCTATTCCCCAAGTCAAAAGCCTCCTCTAGAGAAGTTAGCATTTCAGGGGGGACAAAAATCACTTTAATGACCAGTATGAAGTCTAAGAAAAAGGTGAGTTTTCTGGCCACCCCATTACAGCATTACAGTGGCTTCATGCTGTGCTTTTTGCCCAGGGATAAGCTTCACTCCTGCTTTTCCCTAGTCTCAATTACAACCTTTCGCTCCAAATCACACATAGCGATCACACTTGATGTAATTAAACACTCACTGCATTGAGAGGGGATGAACTTTCTACTTAGGACAAACATGATGCTTTAAGACAAGGCAGAGAAAATTCAGCCAACTTCCCCCAAAACATGGTTCTGACTAAAACCATCAGTGCACTGGCCAAGTGAGACAGAAATCCATTGATCCTGGGTGCTTTAAGGGAGATGACACTGATATGGTCCCAGCTGACACCATTCAGCGGTCACCAGAACCCATTCCTAACTGGTAATCAACTCGGATCTCATTTTCTGACCATGCCAGAGCAGAATTGAGCTGAGTGATAACTGCAATTACTCACCTTGGCTTTACCCATCACAAACTCTAATGCAGGCACATGGTGTTCCTGCAGGCATAATGACTTAAGCCATAGCGCATCCCCACCACCACTGCCTGGGTGAGGACATTATTTATATAATGATATACATTTTGATATACATTAATGGTGTATTATTTAACAATAAATACTTATATAATGTTGCTGAGAATATAGTCACAGGTAGATAAGACACTGGGGCTTGAGCAAAGCTTGTCACTATCTCATGTGCTCTTGCTGCACACCTTGGTTTGGCCATGCAACGTTTCAGCTTCAGAGGAAGCGACTACATTTAGGGATGTTTTAAAACAGATTCTGATTTTGTTCTGCAGTAGAAGCTCAGAAATCTTGAGTCTAGCACCAAAATGTCATCTGTCACTGCAAAAACGAGATTCACCCAACACTGAGATCAGCTGAAGGCTTGGGAACAGCTCTGAGTTCACCAAAAAGGGAAGACGTGGATCTTAGAAGCTCCAATTCACATGCAAAACCTCTTCTAGTAAGCAATAAGCATTTCCCCATACATCCCTCACCCCTGGCTCACAGCAAGGCAGGGGCCAGCCCAGCTAACTGGCCCTCTGCCTTCCTCCTCCAGTGCCATTACTGGTGCTGGCAGGGAGGTTCTTGCTTTAGCAGCATTACAGGAGTTTTAAGGGAGGGAAATAGATGATTAAAAAGGACAATCCTGAGTCGGGAAATCTTCCCTCATGGTTATTTTTAATATTTCCTGCTCTGCTAAAAATGAGCACAGGGCCGGAAGGAGCCCTGCAGTCAGACTTGGACAGATTCAACGGGCTGCCTCCAATCCCTGCCTCTGTGGTTTCAAGAGATGGCCAAATCTTACACCGGAGCAAGAGGAAAGTGTCAGAGCAACAAAGCACGGCGATATCCTATTATCCCTGCGAAGGGCCATTGAGCAGCGTGGTTTGGAGGCAGGGAGCAGAGTCCACCCTTTTCTATAGGCTATGTGGTAAATCTCCGCCAGTGGGGCAGTGTCTGCTGGCCATGGGGCTCCTCAGCACGTTGTTGTGTGAGAGAAAAGCTCTGGTGAAAGCTGTGGACAAGCATGTCCTGCCAGAGCCATCACAAGGAGAGTGGAGAGAGGCAGCCAGGTTGCTGTGGCTCCTCTGAGCACCCCAGGTGAAGGAAAAGGAGAGAAGAGGGATTGAGAAATGAAATGTGAGTCCTCTAAACAGCAGCTGAGAATCCCTGTGCAAACTGTGAATGAACAGAGTACAAGAGATGCTCTGGATGGCACCTCGTCCCCAGTTATCGCTATCTCCTCCCTTCTTCAAGCCCTCAATGGACAAGGACCAGAAGCCCTTATAAGAACAAGCTTCCACTCCATCCAATACCACCTCTGCTACAGTCATCATCTGCCCTTCCAAATAACTGCATTTAAGTATATTTAAATACATGTGAAGAGATAGACTCCATGTATGAAATCAGTCCTATGAGGAATTATCCTGCACACACACTGCCTGCAATGGCTCTGAGCCCAGACAAGCCCTTGGTGGCAGGTTCCACCAGCATCTGCCCTGACCTTTGAGGTCCCCAATGTGAGACCCCTAAAATCGTGTCAGCCTGTGGCACGACACAGCATTGGAAACAGTCCTACCAAAAGCTGTCTTGTTTAAGCATTAAGATCATTATAATCGTGACAGCTTCACGCTTAACTTTATACAGCACAGATGGTTCCACTGGACTGGGATTGCTGCGCAGGAGAACAGCCCTGCACTTAAAAGTATATATGTTTTTTCCAGCATGAACATCATTAATAACAATCTTTTGTTCCTAATTTTCTATTTCTTTGTTTGGAAAAAGCTATTTCAGTATTGTCCAACACAAATCCCCCTTTGGTTCATGACTGCATCCAAACCTGAAACCACTTTCTCATTACTGGGTGATGGGCTTTTCTTCACACAGAAGAAAATCACATAGTTCTACAGTTCTGCTATAAGCCCAACCAGCCACACTGATTATTTTTTTCATGTTTATAAGCCTAATTTAGTTTCAAAACTAAAATTACTTGTCATGTCATACATCAGTGTGTTTTCCTTCAATATGGAATAAAGAGTATTGGAAGAGGGAG